ACTCACACACACACACACTCACAGAGACACACACACACTCTCTCTCTCTCACTCTCACACACACAAACATCACACAACCCTACAGTCTGAATATGATCATTATTAATGACGAATCAAAGAGTTTATCGAACATGCTGATGATTCTCTGTCTGTGTCTCTCAGCTGATGATTGTCGATCTGTCGCCCGGAGCAGAAACTAAATTCATCACGAGAGTGAGTCGCACACACACACACAGTTTCTCTGATTTCATTTACTCTCTTTGAGACGCTGTTTGTTCGTCGTCTCATTCACCCACAGTACTGCACTACAGTCAGTAACGTAATCTAGGTTACTTATTTTTAGCTAATGTATTCCGACGACTTTTTAGATTACTTTTTTTATCTTACTTGTTTTAAACTTACCATATAGATATAAAAAAGCAAAGAGAAAGAAAATATATTCCATGTCTTGATATCAACGCCATAAAGTGCATTAAACATTACATTAAAGAATTAAAAATAGAAATCGTATGGCACACAGTAGGATTTTAGAGAGGATAATTAAAAAAAAGAAGAATCTATAAAGTGTGAATAATTACTGCCATTGTGTGAGTAATATGTAATCATGTAACTGTAATCCGATTGTGACCATTTTAAAATGCAGTATACTCTAATAAAGCAATAAGCCCCAAGAAGCCGTGGTTTACAGTGAATTTATAACAGCTAAGGGGCGTTGTTAGGCATGACGCGAAGCTTCACGAGGCTTATTGCTTTTATAAAACGGTTATTCCATATACGTAGTAAGGTTTCACAAAATAAAACAGAGCAAATAAAGTGTAATGATATTAATAAAAACAGTATTCTTCCACCAAACAATGTAGTTCCTCAGAAACAGTTGTGGTTGCTACAAAGTGGTTGCCGAGCAACACACAAACGTAAACAAAGGTGTATGTTACTTTGTAGAGTCATTTACAACAGCTTCGAACTCTGCTCAACCAATCAGAATCAAGGACCGGAACTCTCCGCTTTATAATTACAAGTACTGATTACGTAATCCGGATTACATGTAATCAGTTACTACCCTAGCAACCGCATAGCAACGTCCTAAACTCCCAATCATGATGGTGTGATTTCAGATTGGAGACGAGGAGTCTCTCCTGCCCGCTAAGCTGAAGGAGGAGCTGCTGTCGCGGCTGTCCACGCGCACACGCCACGCCTGTGAGTTCAGTCTTCCCGCGCCAACGGCCCGCTTCCAGTAAGAGCGCCGCTCAACTTCCTGTTGTTGTGTGTTCTGGCAGCGACGGAGGAGCTGAACCGGCTGGTGTCAGAGGCCTTCCTGTCCGTCTTCGTCAGGAGCGTGGGGCACTTCTCGCAGTACGTCAAGAGGTGCGCGAACGGCCGCCAGTTCCAGAAGAAGAGCTTCCTGAAGGCCGTGGAACACAAGTCACACCTGAACTTTGTCAAGCTCTTCATCCAGACACAGATGTTCGATCTGTTCATTCAGGAAGAGGAAACACAGCCCAACCCTAACGGTACAAGCACACATGCTAATCAGTTTAAGAAGCTCAAACTAACGCAGGACATGTTTTACAGTACTCTAAAATAAGCTTCTTCAAACAGATCTACCTAAAAACCCCTGATGGTTCTGGAGATTTTTCTTTTTCTTAATGGAACCTGAAATAAGACTGAAAACGTGTTTTAACGGAACGTTCTCTCAAACTTATGAACAAACGTTCTTACAGGTAACGTTAATAGAATTTTCGTTCAAAGTTATGTTTTTTTAAATAATGTTAGTACAAAAACATCATTCATGTAACATTTTATTTCTGAAACACTTTTTTAAAAAATGTTTCAACTCGTTTCCGAACATTCCAAAATAACGTTGTCACAATGTTACCTTAACGTTTGAATAACCAAGACAAAAACATTTTACAAATATTCATAAAACTATATATTTTTTAAACGTTTTCTTACTTGGAAAGTTCGGAAAGCATGCGTAGAACATATTTCTGTTAGCTGGGATGTTCTTTAACTCGCTTTATTTAAATACTCGCGTTTTAAGGGAAGAATATGTTTTAGAACAGCTTTTCTATCGGCAGTTTGCGTAAGCCGTTTTCAATCTACGAAATACAACGGACACTTATAGAAGCTCGTTTCTGCCATGGGATTAAAAATAATGGCGATTGCGACTTTTTATCTCGCAAAAATATTTTTCCTCACATTTCTGAATTTTTTTCTGTTCGCAATTCTGAAAAGAAAACTCACAATTGTGAGAAAAAACATCTGAATTAAAAAGTCGTAATTACCTTTTTAGTTTTTTTATTCAGTTGCGGAAACAAAAAACAGAATTACGAGACGTAAACTCAGAAAAGTCTGAATTGTGAGAACAAAAATGCAATTTTTAAAAATTTATTTTATACTTTTTGCAATGCAAAAATCAAGACTTCACATTGGTGCACTGATTTCTTCTTCATGATCTGTCGTCGTGCTGACGCTCTTGTTCTTCTGCAGTGTTCTTTCACAGGAAGGTGTCAGAGTATCACGAGAGGAAGAAGAGGGAGAAGATGAAGGCCGGATGGGTGTGAGGAGTGGTGGTGTAAACGGGTGCAACGTTTTCTTACTTGGAAAGTTCGGAAAGCATGCGTAGAACATATTTCTGTTAGCTGGGATGTTCTTTAACTCGCTTTATTTAAATACTCGCGTTTTAAGGGAAGAATATGTTTTAGAACAGCTTTTCTATTGGCAGTTTGCGTAAGCCGTTTTCAATCTACGAAATACAACGGACACTTATAGAAGCTCGTTTCTGCCATGGGATTAAAAATAATGGCGATTGCGACTTTTTATCTCGCAAAAAAAATTTCTCACATTTCTGAATTTTATACTATTCGCAATTCTGAAAAGAAAACTCGCAATTGTGAGAAAAAACATCTGAATTAAAAAGTCGTAATTACCTTTTTAGTTTTTTTATTCAGTTGCGGAAACAAAAAACAGAATTACGAGACGTAAACTCAGAAAAGTCTGAATTGTGAGAACAAAAATGCAATTTTTAAAAATTTATTTTATACTTTTTGCAATGCAAAAATCAAGACTTCACATTGGTGCACTGATTTCTTCTTCATGATCTGTCGTCGTGCTGACGCTCTTGTTCTTCTGCAGTGTTCTTTCACAGGAAGGTGTCAGAGTATCACGAGAGGAAGAAGAGGGAGAAGATGAAGGCCGGATGGGTGTGTTATCATCAATCAAGCGCTTTATACACTGCGAAATGAATCTGCACAAGAGACTTGACGAGACTGCAGAGTTCAGTCAGTGAGTGCATGCACTGATTTCTTCTTCATGATCTGTCGTCGTGCTCACGCTCTTGTTCTTCTGCAGTGTTCTTTCACAGGAAGGTGTCAGAGTATCACGAGAGGAAGAAGAGGGAGAAGATGAAGGCCGGATGGGTGTGAGGAGTGGTGGTGTAAACGGGTGCAGCTTTCCTATCGACATTCCATTAACATACTGCAGACATTCAGTCAATATTTAATGCTGTTTATTTGTATCTTGTTTTAACATAATAAAAGATAAAGCGAGCTGATACAATGTTTGTTTGCGAGTTAAGCAATTGATTTTAAACGGGAACAAATCCAGCTCATATTTCACCTCAAACTTGTTATACATGTGTGCATTTGTGTAATTTTTATTATTGCCAGCGATGATTCTCATTGATGCGAAACAGTATTTTTGTAGCATTGCAATAATCAGTACAATAAACATTTTATTTAAATCATCTAAAATATATTATTTGCATATTTCATGCCTTTTAAATGAGGCTTTTATTTTAGTTTTCCATGATGAAATAAGAGCTATAAATGTTCTTTTTGCATAAAATCCACCCACTAATGTCAACTTGAATAACATAATCAAAGCAGTTAGGTGTTTGGATAAAAATATGCATTAACAAAAGTACAGACTATAGAACATGTCTATAGTTTCCACCAACGAACTTACAATAGAAAACAAACAAGAAGTGTATAATACCTGCTAAACGCAGTATTTAGAGCATCGTTTCAGACGGTTGTGTGAAGGTTGTACAAACGTTGTGTAAATGTTAGTATGATGTTTCCAGAGCTCTACACGGCCCGTTGAGTGTTTCTGCCTTTAACCCTGAGTGTCGCTGCCCTCCGCTGGCGCATCACAGTCTTTCTGCCTCATCTGGAGCGTCTTCTCCTCATCAGATGCTCCCGGCGAGCAGCGGCGAGGTCTCCGAGGGCCGTCGTGAAGGAAGGGGCCGGTAATGGTGCGAATCGTACAGGTGGTTGCTCTGAAGCTCCGCCTCCGCTCGCAGGTTGATCTTCTGCAGAGAAACACACGTGTGAGAGACACGGTCAACAGCGTTCTACCATCCGATGGGAGATGCTTTACCTTGAAGTCTCGTATGTAGGTGAGGAAGAAGCTGATGAAGGATAGAGCGAGAGACCATTCGGAGATGGTGCTGACGATGTGCGGCGTGAAACCCTGAAATAAACAGAGCGATCAGAGACTGGCTCGGCACACGCAAAGCTGGCGGTGACACGGACTCGCACTCACAGGTTCTCCGGGCGTCCAGTGCAGCTTCTTGTTGACCTCGACTCCTGACAGAGTGGTGTACATGATGACCGACGACACGAACACTGAGCGAATCAAGGAACCAACAGCAGCGGCATGCTAAATGCATGCTAAACGCTAACGCCTGTTTAAAGGATACTGCTGATGATGCTGGCGAAGGTCCAGATGCAGACGCTCAGGCGTGTCCAGAACATGGTTTTGCTGTGGACATGCGGCTGCATGCGGTACGACAGCAGCATTTGGACCAGGATGTACAGAGCGCCCACGCCGAACGTCAGTATGGCTCCCACCAGATGCATCGCAAACAGAGTGGTTTTCTGGGAAAGACACGGCACGCTTAATGCTCGGTGCGAAAACTCTGAAACATTTTAATTTGAATGAACGGCTGTATGTGTGTCTCTTTAGACCAACACAAATATTTGCATGCTGACAATGCAACTTTTTGCACGTTCGTCTGAACCGACAAATCGAATGCAAAAATCAGACCGAATTTTCATGCAAATCTTTAGGTGCGATTAACATTTTATTTTGCATGAACAGCTGTTGCTCCTGTGAACATTTACATGCGACGTTGCAACATTTTTTTTGCACGTCGGTTTGAACGGACAAAATAGATGCGAAAATCGGACCGAATCTTCAAGCCCAGTATTTGTGTTGGTGTATAAAGGAGAATATTTTGTACGATAAACGTTTTAAATTTAAATCAACAGCGATTGTCTCTGTTCATACCGACACACATTCGCATGCAACGTTTTTTGCACATTGGTGCGAACAGAAAAATCAAATGCGAAAATCTGACCACGTCTTCATGCGAACATTTGGTGCAATAAGCATTTTAATTTGAATGAATGGGTGAGCGATGTGAACATTTGCATGCCAACAATGATTTTATGGAGATCTATGGGTTTTAATCTCTTTCCCATCGCACTGCGAAGAAAACTGGACAACCAATAAAATTTGCGCTTTTTGGTCATCTGCTCTTGTTTGATAAACAACAAAGTGAATAAAAATATAAATATCTGAATGGCTGTTTGAAAACATGTAAATAACGTTTTTTTCAGTTTTTTATGCGATGGTCTGAACAGACAAATCGAATGTGAAAATCTGACCAAATTTCATGCCAAATATTTGTGTTGCATGTGAACGGGCGAATATTCTACGCGATAAACGTTTCAGTCTGAATGAGACAGATTGCAAATTGAATGCGAAAATCTGACCTAATTTTCACGCTGAACACACAGTCGTTATGCTCAAAAAACATCGCAGTGTACGTACCTGAAAGTTAGCGATGACGCACATGCCGAGCGAGCTTCCGCAGCCCAGAACGAACCCTATCAGATTGAGGAGGTTCAGACGGGGGTCGTCCACGAGGGCGCGGAGCTGCTTATAGCGCACGTACATAGTAGCGACACCTGCAGGAAAATACGCAACATTGCATCACTGAAACGCATCATAACTGACAGGGTTAAAGGTCACACTCTACCACATCATAACACCCCCTTCCCCTACTGTTAGCATTAGCACATAGCTAGATGCAGTATTTTTTTGTTTTAGTTTCATAGTCGGTTGTAGAGTTAGGAGTCATAGATAGGGTCAGTGTGAGGTCATTCAGTACCTAAGAACGCAGACACATTCAGCATGAGTCCAAACACACATCGCTCCGGCGCCACCGTCCCCGTGTCACTGTAAGTACAAGACGAAGGTCATTCAGAGGTCAGAGGTCACGCCGTCACATGATGACACCGGTCTGTGCTCACCTGATGTAGGGCACCAGCGGGTCCACGTGTCTCAGGATGATGGCCGTGATGTAAGCGAAGATGAAGGTGGCGGCGGTCCAGATGACCAGCGCCACGGGCAGGACGCACAAACCCTCCTGAAACCACCACATGCCTGACGACACGCCTGAAACACACGCCAGATATCATCAGAGTCAGCCGCGCTTCCTCTTCTCACCACCGCAGAGCATCATGGGTGAGTTTCTGCTTTTCACTTCTGCTCTGAGAGCACAGGGACAGTCATAGCCTTCACAAAAATGTTAAGAAAACCATCCACACACACTAAAACTAGTCAAATGAAATCATTTCTGGTAAAAACGTTCTGGTAATGTTCTCTCAAAGTTATGAAGACGTTCTTCCAGTAACATTATCTGCTGTTTAATACAGTAGGGTGTTTTCACGACACGTCATAAATCTGGAAGTCGGCCATATTGGAGGCACTGAACGTAAACAATGCCGAACGGAACTCATGTATGGGCTTGGCGAAAAAAACGAAGTAGTTCACTACAGCTCCATTACAGATTTGCGCAAAACTTTTGCGATATTTTATAAATGTCGATTAAAAAACTATTGCGAAATGACAGCGTTTCCATTAACCGATGTTATGCGACTAAAACGACTAAAAAAAATTTCCTCTCGTGAGAAGTCATGGCGACGGATGTTGGTAGGTTTACGTATATCGCACTAGCCATTAATTTTAAATCGAAGGAGACGTAGATGTGTATCTTTAGCGAAGCAGTGGGAAAAAAACAGATCCTCTTGAAGAACCACCTCATGCGAGCGGGCATACAAACTTTTTAGCGATATATGGGCATTTTTGCAAAATTGATGTGTTTCCATTGGGTGTATTTTCAATTTGTGCAGTTTGAAGGGTAATGGAAACGCAGTTTATGTCGGGATAAGAAATAGAAGGAAGAATTTGCATTGACACACTATTTTACTATTTTGATACTGTAAAGCTGCTTTGACACAATCTGTATTATTAAAAGCGCTATATAGCCTAAATAAAGGAGACTTGACTTGAATTGTCGGGTCATATTTATAGTTTTTCAAACTTTTTTTTTTTGGAAACATTTTAGTTAATTTAACGTTTTTTAAATGTTACTAGTTTCAGAATGTTCAGAGAACATTCTAAAGTAACGTTCCCATAATGTTTGCAAAATGATACAAAGGAACATTGCCTTAACATTTGAATAACCATTAAAAACTTTAAACATTTTTTTTATTTAAAAACGGACGTTTTGATCGTTTGGAGAACATTCAGAAACAGCGTTTCCATAACTGAATGGGAACGTTAGAAAACCGTTCTTATATTTTTGATCGCTCAATATGGTAATAAATCAGTACCTTGGTATTTGCATTGTAAGAATATTTTATGAGGGTACGTGCTTAAATTGTACAAGTATTTTGAGAGATTTTAAGAATAAACAATAAAAGCGGAATTCAATCACATAAAGCAACAGATTTCTTTAGTTTCACTTTGAATTCCATACAAAGAAAATTACGTTAAAGCGTATTTTAAGGTTATAGTATTATTGCTAATGCTTTTGTTTCTGTCAAATCTGTATGTAATGAAGTCAGTTTTAAAAATAATAATAAGATCATGATGAGCGTTACCTGTCAATCAAACAGACGATCGTCCCTCAGTCTGAGCAGACATGTTAAATCTCCTAATATCTTCCGTTAATGGCTATATTCCATTATGTAATGTTATTGTATGCTTTTATTCGTTTAATACTCCGATTTCTGATTTAGTTCATTTTAGCGCTGTTTTTCTTCCGTGTCTCGCTCGTCAACTCTCGCCGACCAAACTCACGAGACTCGCGGGGAAAAAAACCCGGATGTGGAGCTGCTCGGCGGGTCGCCAGCGCGGGAAAAATCCCCCTCAGCGCGATAATACGCTAATACCCACAGAGACATTTCGATTTATTTAAATGTTCATGCGATCTTTCGATTAAATCAACAGCGATTGTCTCTGTTCATACCGACACACATTCGCATGCAACGTTTTTTGCACATTGGTGCGAACAGAAAAATCAAATGCGAAAATCTGACCACGTCTTCATGCGAACATTTGGTGCAATAAGCATTTTAATTTGAATGAATGGGTGAGCGATGTGAACATTTGCATGCCAACAATGATTTTATGGAGATCTATGGGTTTTAATCTCTTTCCCATCGCACTGCGAAGAAAACTGGACAACCAATAAAATTTGCGCTTTTTGGTCATCTGCTCTTGTTTGATAAACAACAAAGTGAATAAAAATATAAATATCTGAATGGCTGTTTGAAAACATGTAAATAACGTTTTTTTCAGTTTTTTATGCGATGGTCTGAACAGACAAATCGAATGTGAAAATCTGACCAAATTTCATGCCAAATATTTGTGTTGCATGTGAACGGGCGAATATTCTACGCGATAAACGTTTCAGTCTGAATGAGACAGATTGCAAATTGAATGCGAAAATCTGACCTAATTTTCACGCTGAACACACAGTCGTTATGCTCAAAAAACATCGCAGTGTACGTACCTGAAAGTTAGCGATGACGCACATGCCGAGCGAGCTTCCGCAGCCCAGAACGAACCCTATCAGATTGAGGAGGTTCAGACGGGGGTCGTCCACGAGGGCGCGGAGCTGCTTATAGCGCACGTACATAGTAGCGACACCTGCAGGAAAATACGCAACATTGCATCACTGAAACGCATCATAACTGACAGGGTTAAAGGTCACACTCTACCACATCATAACACCCCCTTCCCCTACTGTTAGCATTAGCACATAGCTAGATGCAGTATTTTTTTGTTTTAGTTTCATAGTCGGTTGTAGAGTTAGGAGTCATAGATAGGGTCAGTGTGAGGTCATTCAGTACCTAAGAACGCAGACACATTCAGCATGAGTCCAAACACACATCGCTCCGGCGCCACCGTCCCCGTGTCACTGTAAGTACAAGACGAAGGTCATTCAGAGGTCAGAGGTCACGCCGTCACATGATGACACCGGTCTGTGCTCACCTGATGTAGGGCACCAGCGGGTCCACGTGTCTCAGGATGATGGCCGTGATGTAAGCGAAGATGAAGGTGGCGGCGGTCCAGATGACCAGCGCCACGGGCAGGACGCACAAACCCTCCTGAAACCACCACATGCCTGACGACACGCCTGAAACACACGCCAGATATCATCAGAGTCAGCCGCGCTTCCTCTTCTCACCACCGCAGAGCATCATGGGTGAGTTTCTGCTTTTCACTTCTGCTCTGAGAGCACAGGGACAGTCATAGCCTTCACAAAAATGTTAAGAAAACCATCCACACACACTAAAACTAGTCAAATGAAATCATTTCTGGTAAAAACGTTCTGGTAATGTTCTCTCAAAGTTATGAAGATGTTCTTCCAGTAACATTATCTGCTGTTTAATACAGTAGGGTGTTTTCACGACATGTCATAAATCTGGAAGTCGGCCATATTGGAGGCACTGAACGTAAACAATGCCGAACGGAACTCATGTATGGGCTTGGCGAAAAAAACGAAGTAGTTCACTACAGCTCCATTACAGATTTGCGCAAAACTTTTGCGATATTTTATAAATGTCGATTAAAAAACTATTGCGAAATGACAGCGTTTCCATTAACCGATGTTATGCGACTAAAACGACTAAAAAAAATTTCCTCTCGTGAGAAGTCATGGCGACGGATGTTGGTAGGTTTACGTATATCGCACTAGCCATTAATTTTAAATCGAAGGAGACGTAGATGTGTATCTTTAGCGAAGCAGTGGGAAAAAAACAGATCCTCTTGAAGAACCACCTCATGCGAGCGGGCATACAAACTTTTTAGCGATATATGGGCATTTTTGCAAAATTGATGTGTTTCCATTGGGTGTATTTTCAATTTGTGCAGTTTGAAGGGTAATGGAAACGCAGTTTATGTCGGGATAAGAAATAGAAGGAAGAATTTGCATTGACACACTATTTTACTATTTTGATACTGTAAAGCTGCTTTGACACAATCTGTATTATTAAAAGCGCTATATAGCCTAAATAAAGGAGACTTGACTTGAATTGTCGGGTCATATTTATAGTTTTTCAAACTTTTTTTTTTTGGAAACATTTTAGTTAATTTAACGTTTTTTAAATGTTACTAGTTTCAGAATGTTCAGAGAACATTCTAAAGTAACGTTCCCATAATGTTTGCAAAATGATACAAAGGAACATTGCCTTAACATTTGAATAACCATTAAAAACTTTAAACATTTTTTTTATTTAAAAACGGACGTTTTGATCGTTTGGAGAACATTCAGAAACAGCGTTTCCATAACTGAATGGGAACGTTAGAAAACCGTTCTTATATTTTTGATCGCTCAATATGGTAATAAATCAGTACCTTGGTATTTGCATTGTAAGAATATTTTATGAGGGTACGTGCTTAAATTGTACAAGTATTTTGAGAGATTTTAAGAATAAACAATAAAAGTCAAATTAATTTAAATAAAGCAACAGATTTCTTTAGTTTCACTTTGAATTCCATACAAAGAAAATTACGTTAAAGCGTATTTTAAGGTTATAGTATTATTGCTAATGCTTTTGTTTCTGTCAAATCTGTATGTAATGAAGTCAGTTTTAAAAATAATAATATCATGATGAGCGTTACCTGTCAATCAAACAGACGATCGTCCCTCAGTCTGAGCAGACATGTTAAATCTCCTAATATCTTCCGTTAATGGCTATATTCCATTATGTAATGTTATTGTATGCTTTTATTCGTTTAATACTCCGATTTCTGATTTAGTTCATTTTAGCGCTGTTTTTCTTCCGTGTCTCGCTCGTCAACTCTCGCCGACCAAACTCACGAGACTCGCGGGGAAAAAAACCCGGATGTGGAGCTGCTCGGCGGGTCGCCAGCGCGGGAAAAATCCCCCTCAAGGCTATTTTCACAAAATACGACGGCAATTTTCTAAGAAAAAAAATCCCATTTTCAGTTTTTGATGTGAATATATTGTAAAATATACAGAGGTGACGTATTTCACTACCAAAGTACTGTGGTATAAAAGTTTTAACAATATTAGAATGTACAATACTCATACTAGGCTATATAGTAGGAGTATATAAATAGTATATTTATTTATTTAGTCATTTAGCAGACGCTTTTATCCAAAGCGACTTACAAATGAGGACAATAAAAGCAGTCAAAACTAACAAAAGAGCAACAATATATAAGTGCAAATGACAAGTCTCGGTTAGCCTAACACAGTACACGTAGCAAGCAGTATATATATATATATATATATATGTATGTATATATACATATACACACATACACACACATACATACATACTAACAAACATATATATATGGCATGCCGTTCAGGAAATAATTATATTTATATTATGAAGTTTGAGTGTATGGAACGAAAGTCTGAATATATGGAACGAAAGTCTGAATATATGGAATCAAAGTCTGAATATATGGAATGAATGTCTAAAATTTTATAGAATTGCACATTTGACAATTATCACTGAATAATGTGCAGCTTGTTTTATTCTTGTTATCAGAGCAATAGCCTTTTGAATTGTGATACATT